TGAATCATCTGCTTAAATTTGGGAATGTATTTGCTGCATTATAAGCACATAGCTAACTGATCTACATCAAGACCACTGTAAATCCAAAGGTAGACTCTTTCTATATGGATATAGAATTTGGTTTTTAATCATCATCACCACCACCACCACTACCCTCTGTGAGTGTGCTAATTAAGAGTTTTAAAGGTTTTTTGGGAGAGGGGGTAACCAAAATGTTGGGAATGTATTTGCTGCATTATAAGCACATAGCTAACTGATCTACATCAAGACCACTGTAAATCCAAAGGTAGACTCTTTCTATATGGATATAGAATTTGGTTTTTAATCATCATCACCACCACCACCACTACCCTCTGTGAGTGTGCTAATTAAGAGTTTTAAAGGTTTTTTGGGAGAGGGGGTAACCAAAATGGCTGGATTTGATTTCTTGTTCCCCATGCATAAGCCTGTCCAGAAGTTTTACTCAAAATCAGTAATGGAAGCAGGATGGCACAGTCAGCATAATGATGTGAAGTTTAACCATATATGTCAAATTAAACAAGGTACTATTCTAATCATACACACATCCTGTAGTGTGTATTTTTTAACATGAGGGAGGAAGCTCCATAGACAGATAAGTTTCCTTGTTAAAACCTTCAAGTCTTAAGAAAGACTTGACGTCTTTCATGTAAGGACAGGACAACTTCTTGCTGACAAAACTGTCTCAGGAACAGACCTATTACATACCGCTTTCAAACAGGCCCTCCCCCCTTTTTATAGCCTGCCATTTTAGGTACCAGAAGTAGCAGGCCTGCAGTTTGTCTTGGCACGACATGTCATGAATTAGATAAGGGGAAAGAAGCAATCAGCCTCCACCTTTCTTTCCACAGTGAATCATCCTCCTGCTCAAATCCATAAAAGCATCTCTGCACATAATGTTTCTTCCTTTGAAAATAGTTAAACAAAAGCCCAAATCCTAACTTCCCCCACAACTGCTTCTGTTTATTATCTGAATTCTACTTATAATGGATCAGCCTGTGCCATTATTTTCTGTTTTTAATAGTAATTTTATTAAAAATTACAACTGCAGTGATAAAAAACTAATACAAGCTAAAAAGAGAAAAAAATAGAAGGTGCGAAAAAGAAAAAGAAAATAGAAAAGAAAGAAAAAAATAAGAATATAGTACAGAAAAAGAAAAGAAATATATAAAGAAATCACTTCCCCCTTCATCACAACAAGTATAAACAATTTTAGTAACTTATCACCTCTTAAAATACAATAAATGATATTTTCTTCCTATATCCCATCTTTTATCTATAAACAAATCCTTAAAAACCTTGTCATTTCAGTCCTGATCAGCAAAAATCCATTAAGGGTTACCAGACATAGCAACATATCTATTTTAACCTCAAAGCTTCAAACTTCAAAGCTTTAACAAGCCTCTTTTGTAAATCCAATATAGGAAGTTTATCCAGGTCACTCTCTTGGTTTGTTATTTCTATATCTCTTTTAATTATTAATATATCAGCCAATTTCTTTTGTATGTCCAGTGGAGCATCTTTTTCCATATCATTCTTGTACAGTAGCTTGTCATTTTTAAATCCACTTTCAGATCAGTCTTAGTCTTGTCTAGTAAAACTTGTTCCTCTTTCATAACATCTTTTAAATACAGTCTATCTATACAGGCAAACACTA